GTTGGGAGCCTAACACTGAGTTTAATAGGGCAGTAGATCTATCTTAGTTTTTGATAGACCAGTCTAGAAAGCTGACAAAGGAAGCATGTATGGGTATGTGTATGTTGCAATCCATGTGATTAGTCAGCTGTGCTGATGAAGACTGGCCAAATACTGGTCCTACTCCTTTTACCATTGGCTGGGAAATGTTGAATATATGAACTTTTCTCCTCCTTTACTGCCAACAACTAATTGCAATAACTGAGAAAATTTACAATGGAAAAAGGGCCCATGAATTCATAAAGAAGCATATAAAAAGACAGGTTTGGTGTCAAATAGAACTGACTTTGTGAATTCCAACACTGGCTGTGTGGCCCTAGACAAGTTACTCACCCTTTGGAACCTCTTTTTCCACTTCTGTAAAGTACAGACAATTATATGTTCCTATTTTTTTAAAAAATTGAACTCAGCTTTACCACTGCGTTATATCCACAGCCCTTTAAATTTTTTTTTTCAATTGTAGGTGGACACAATACCTTTGTGTTTTTGATTTATTTTTATGTGTGCTGGGGATGGAACCCAGTGCCTCACACGTGCTAGCTAAGTGCTCTACCTCTGAGCCACAACCCCAGTGCCCCCAGCCCTTTTTTAAAATTTTGAGATATGGTCTAAATTGCTTAGGGACTTGCTAAATTTCCCAGACTACTTTCAAAATTGGGATCCTCCTGCCTCAGCCTTCAAATTGCTGGAATTACAGGCATGTACCACCACACCAGAAATATGTCCCTTTGGTAGTATTTGGTTTGAAGCAGCTATTTAATGATTAGTAACTATTCTGGTGTGTTAAATAAGATTTTTAACATCTACTACATCTGAATCACATAAAGAAAATACATGGGGCTTGAGGTGTTGTTCAGTGGTAGAGCACTTGGCTAGCAGAATTGAGGTACTGGGTTCAACTTCCAGTACCCCCCTCACACACACACACACACACAATAATAAAATACACACAATAAACCATGATTCTTTCCTCCACAATGTTTACATTCTATCTAGGGAGATGAGTCAGGCATAAAATATGTTCAATAAGATACAATGTTATTGGGCTTCAATGGTAGCTCAGAAGAAGAGTAGTTTGTTTACACAGTGAGGCAATGGGTTCCATCCTTAACACCACATAAAAATAAAATAAAGGTATTGTGCCCATCTACAACTAAAAAAAATACTTTAAAAAAGACACAATGTTATCATTCAAATGAGAGATATAAAACTAATATTAGCAACCATTTATTGAGTGCTTACAATAAGTTAGGCAGTATACTAAGTGCTTTATAACCTTCTCATTTAATTTGGCAACCTTCCTCTTAGAAAGTACTATTTTTGTCTAAGGCCTTACCACACTGAATGTGCCTGATCTCAAAAGCTAAGAGGGTCAGCCTTGGCTCGTACTTGCATAGAAGAAAGTATAGGTGTGGTGGTGACACACCTGTAGTTCCAGCAGTGGGGAAGCTGAGAGGATCACTTGAGTCCTGCAGTTGGAGAGCAGCTTGGGCAACAATGAGATACTAGGTTTCAAAACCAAAAATTCTATTATTATCTCTTTATAAAAGAGGAAGCTGAGGCTCAGAAAGGGGAAATGAATTGCCCAAGGTTGCACAGGTGGGTGGGGCAGAGCGCAGGGGTGAACCCCATTCTAAGCTCTAGGATTTATATTCTTATGAAAGTAACCAATTCCTATAATTTAGGGATTGTCTAGGTTTAACCATATTATTCACACATTTCCTATCTATCCTTTTTTTCTTTTTTTTTTTTAAAGTACTACCAAGGCTATTCAAGGTAGGAATCTAGACACAGGTGACTATCCTCTCTTTTCTCTCTCTGGTTAGTCATTAAGTCATTCTCTAATTTACATTTCGAAATCTTTTTCTCATAGTTATCTCAGCCAGAGTGGATCATAGCTCTCCAGGCTGTCTTCCTAAGTTTTTCCCCACATTGCAGCTAAGATGATCTTTTCATTTTTATTTTATTTTTTATATTTATTTTTTCATTGTAGTTGGACACAATACCTTTATTTTATTTATTCATTTTTATGTGGTGCTGAGGATTGAACCCAGAGCCTCGCACGTGCGAGGTGAGCACTCTACTACTGAGCCATAACCCCAGCCCTTCATTTTTATTTTTAAGTTCTTGTTTTTGTTTATTAGTATTGATCCCAGAGTGTGAGCCAGATTCCCCAGCTCCTCCCCCCATTTTGAGACAGGATCTCACTGAGTTGCTTAGGGCCATGATAAGTTGCTGAGGCTGGCTTTGAACTTGGGATCCTCCTGCTTCAGCCTCCCAAGTTGCTGGCATTACAGTCATGTACCACTGCACCTGGCTAGGGTGATTTTATATATATATATATATATATATATATATATATATATATATATATATATATATATATATATATTTGTAGAGACAACAATAACTTTTAATTATTTTATGTGGTGCTGAGGATCAAATCCAGTGTTTCACATATGCTAGGCAAATACTCTACCAACTGAGCTACAACCCCAGCCCCAAAGGTGATCTTTTTAAAGCTCACATCTGATCTTTAGTTTGGTATGTAAAGTCCTCCAAGATCTGGACCTTATTCCTCTTCCATTTCTTTTTTTTTTAATATTTCTTTTTTTGGTTGTTGATGGGTCTTTATTTATGTGTATGCGGTGCTGAGACTCGAACCCAGTGCCTCATGCATGCTAGGCAAGCGTGTTACCACTTAGCCATACTTCCTCTTCCTCTTCCATTTCTTACTCCTTCTTACCTCAGATTCTACAGCCTAATTCTACTTAATTTGGTGTCATCTGGTAATGCTGTTTCCATCACCTGCAATTTCCTTTCTTCCCTTTTAATCTAGTTAACACTTGTTATGACACCATCAAGTTACTTTGTGCATTAATGACCTTTTCCAGGAAGACTTCCCTGATGCCCTCAGGATGGCTGAAGTGTCCTACTTGCTTCCAAAACAGCTGGCCTGTTTATATCTCATTACCCAATTGTATCAAATCACATGGTACTGTTTCCTTAGTATAACTCTGCTTCCTACTAACCTGCTGATCAACTCTTTTGAATGCATAGTTGGAGTCCACACTTAAAATGAACATCTAGCTTTTGAAAGTCAACTGTGTCCAGTTTAAAAAAAAAAAAAAAAGAATCCTGGCAGTTGATGAAGCAGGTGTATAATGACAGATTCTGGAGATGGAGGCAGAAGGATAGCAAGTTTGAGGTCAGCCTCAGCAATTTAGTGGGACCCTGTCTCATAATAAAAAATAAAAGGTGCTGGGGTGTAATCAGCTGAAGACAGCAAGTGCTCACGCCTGTAATCCCCACAACTCTGGAGGTTGAGGCAGGAGGATCACAAATTCAAGGCCAGTCTCAGCAACACAGTGGAGGTCCTGAGCAATTTAGTGAGATGCTGTCCCAAAATAAAAACAATTAACAAGGCTTAGGGTTAGGGCTGAGGTTGTAGCTCAGTTGATAGAGCACTTGCCTAGCACATTGAGGCACTGAGTTCCATCATCAGCACCGCATAAAAATAAATAAAAACAAGGGTGTTTTAAAAAAAGGCTTGGCGATATAGCTCAGTGGTAAAGCATTCTTGAGTTCAATCCCCAGTACTAAAAAAATAAATTTAATTAATAATTAATTAATTAACTATTTTAATTAAAAAATAAAAATAAATAAAAGGTTTGGGGATGTAGCTCAGTGAAAAGCACCCCTGGGTCCAATCCTAGTACTGGAAAAAAATAATAATAATAAAGGTGGAGGGAGGCTGTATAGAGAAAGGAAACCAGAGCTAGAGTTAAAAGTGTCAGTATAGTATAGTCCCAAAGAGGATGGACCAATAAACTGCTTGATTTGTATCCCAGCCTCTCTACTCCCTTGCATGTAATTTAACATCTGTTGTCTAAGTTTTCCCACTGTACCACTGTTAATAGTGGCACTTGATTCATAGGGTTTCTGTGAGGATTATTAAATTTTGGAAATTTTGTTTGGGCTCTAGGGATTGAACCCAGAAGCACTTTACCACTGAGCTACATCCCCCTTCCTTTTTATTTGAGACAAGGTTTCCCTAAGTTGCCCAGGCTGGCCTCAAATTTGTGATCCTCCTGCATCAGTCTCATGAGTTGCTGGGATTAAAAGTCTAGGCCACCTGGGCTGGCTTTACTTTTACATTAACTATGCGAGACATTATTTGTTAATCACTGAATTTTTTAGTATCCTTTTAATTTCTGCACTTCAAGTGAATGCTTCATTCATCTTTCCCTAATCTCTGCTCCCTCCACACTTTATGTGCTTGACGTTAGCAGAGTTCAATAAATGTTGAATTTACAACCCCCACCCCATATTTTTTATTTATTTTTGAGGCTGGGTTGTCTTATATCGCCCAGGCTGGCCTCAAACCATGGGCTCAAGCCACCCCATCTCAGCCTCCTGAGTAGTTACAGGTGCACGCCACTCCCTAGTATTTTAAAATTGAGGTTAATATCCATAGCAAAGTGAAAAAAAAAAAGGATATTGCTGAGATCCCCAGTTGCTCACAACATTATGCTAAGCAATATAGGGCGTCTTCCTTTTCACCTTCAGGTATCTAATAAAAAGAGGTCTTTGTTTTATAACATTCTCCCCTTCTCTTCGTGAAGCTCCCTTTCTTGTCCGAGTCAGCGTTTCTGCGATCAAAGTTTAAATGTAAGTTCTTTCTTCCCTTCTACCAGTTCCAAGAGATCTCCTACACAAAAACATCTCTGGGTCATCGAACTTGGAAAAAAATAAATATTTTCTTGGATGAGGACCTATGACGTCAAGCTTCCTCCGCCACCACAGAGCAGTTACTGTGCAAACCAGTGCCGCATGTTTGCGCATGCGTTTCCGCTTGCCCGCAAAGAAACAATTTCTGACCCTCTCGGCACCCTTACGTCGCGAGGCGGCAGTGTCTCGCCTCGTTTGCGCGACGTCGGCTTCCTGCCGGAAGTGGGAAGAGGAGGAGGCGGGGCGGTTATGCTTGTGGTGTGTTTTGCTAGGCTCCTGTGCTCTGAGGTCTGGGGAATAATTGTCGCTCAAAGGCTCTGCGGGCGGAGTGCGGGCGGAGGTGTGTTTCTCCAGTGTAAGTGCACACGTCCAGGATGCCGGCTTAGGACGATCTGTACTATCATTTTATAAAAGAATTTTATGCTTCCGCGAGGCTCTCTCCTACTCGGCCGCAGGCTCTGCCACTGACTTGATGCGCACTGTGACTTGCCTTGTATCCCTCTCCGTGTCTCTGTGTCTAATCTGTAAAATGAAGGGAAGACAAGATCCCTAAAGTCACTTTTCAGGTTTTCCGAATGTAATTGAATGTCTGTTATGTCTTTTGAGCCACGTAGTCCGGAGGGTTAGTATCCTTGACCCCATTTTATAGGGAAAAGACGGTGAGAGGTTACGTGACTTCCTCAAGATTGAACAGATACCTTTTTGAGGTTTTAGAAGTTGAAACTAGAATGTTACTCTGTAACTCCATGGTCAAATTTTCTTTGTATATTTCTATATCGTCAGTTCCTGGAACTGGCCACATAAGGGGATACTCAAAAATTTTGAATGAGTTAATCTTGATTCCAGGGCCAATGCCATGCAAACCTGGTATCTCTCCATCTCTGATGTATAAACAAATGTTACTTTTCCAGGGTATCCTGTGCCTTTCCTTACTGGGTGCTCTGAGTCCAGTTCTGTAGTCTTCAATTAATCAGACAGACACCATGGAGGCACCCCCAGTTACCATGATGCCTGTTACTGGGGGCACCATTAACATGATGGAGTACCTGCTTCAGGGTAAGTAAACCAGAAAGCTGGGATTACCTGCTTTCCTCTTTTCAGCTTCTGTGGATATGAAAGACTTACACAAAGGTAACCTGCATAATTTCTGACACTCAGCAGACAATTTCCATCCCCTGCAGTGCTGGGGATTGAACACTGAACCTCATGCATGGTAGACAACCTCTACCCCAGCTCCTTATTTTTTAAATTATTTTAAACTTAAAAGTATGGTTTCAAGGGGCTGGGGTCCTGGCTTAGCAGTAGAGCGCTCACTTAGCACATGTGGAATGCTGGGTTTGATCCTCAGCACCACATAAAAATAAAATAAAGGTGTTGTGTCCAACTACAACTAAAACAATATTTTAAAAATATGGTTTCAAATTCATTAAGCACTATAAATTTGCCAGTATAACATTTGAAATGTTGCACCTCATATCTGTTGAACTTTTTCATCTTGCAAAACTGAAACTCTATACCCATTAAATACTAATTTCCCCTCTCTTCTACTCCCAGGCGTTAGCAACTATCTTTCTACTTTCTCATTTCAAATATCTTAGATACCTCATATGAGTGGGATAATACAGTATTTGTCTTTTTGTGACTGACATATTTCATTTAGCGTAATGTACTTGGGATTCATCCATTTTATGATATAGGACAGAATCAATCCCCATATCTATCTATCTCTCTCGCTCTCTCGCTTTCTCGCTCTCTCCCTCTTTTTTCCATACTGGAGATTCAACCCAGGGTCTTACTCATGTGAGGCAAGTTCTATACCCTGAGCTACAACCCCAGCCCTTTTAAAATTTTTTATTTTGAGACAGGGTCTTTCTAAATTCCTCAGGCTGCGCTTGAACTTGCCATCCTTCTTTGTATTACCCTTCCTTAACTTCTCAAGTAGCTGGGATTACAGGGATTTGTCACCACACCTGGCCAGAATAACCTTTTTTTTTTTTTTTAGTTGTAGTTGGACACAATATCTTTTCATTTTATTTATTTATTTTTATGTGTTGCTGAGGATCAAACCCAGCCGCCTCACATGTGCTAGGCAAGCGCTCTACCTCTGAGCCCCAGCCCCAGCCCCAGCCCCTGTGCTTTTTTCTTTTTGGTACCAGGGATTGAACCCAGGGGTGCTTAACCACTGAGCCACATACCCTTTTGTATATTTTATTTAGAGATAGGGTCAGCAATAAAAGAGAATAAAACTATGGTATTTGCAGGTAAATAGATGGAGTTAGAGAATATAATGAGGCTGGCTGGGTTGATGGCTCATGACTATAATCCCAGTGACTCGGGAGGCTGAGGCAAGAGGATTGTGAGTTTAAAGCCAGCCTCAGCAATTTAGTGAAGCCCTAAGCAATGCAGTGAGACCCTGTCTCTAATAAAATATAAAAAAGGGCTGGGGATGGGACTTAGTGGTTAAGAACCCCTGGGTTCATTTTTCAGTACCTGCCCCCTTAAAAAAAATTGCTGAGGCTGGCGTTGAACTCACAATCTTCCTATCTCAGTTTCCTGAGCCATAGGGATTCCAGGTGTGTGGCACTGTGCCTGGCTTTATTGTGGTTTTGATTTATATTTCTCTAGTGGTTAGTGATATCGAACCTCTTATATTCTTGTAGGCCATTTGTATGTCTTCTTTGCAGAATTGTCTATTTAGTCTTTGCCTACTGTTCCTTTTTTTTGGTCCAACAGCTAGCATATGATTGTATTTATTTAAATTATTTATTTATTCTAATTTATTATATGATGGCAGAATGCATTACATTTCATATTACACATATAGAGCACAAATTTTCAAGTCACTGGTTGTACATAAAGTATTTTCACACCATTCGTGTCTTCATACATGTACTTAGGGTAGTGATGTCTAATTCATTCCACCTTCTTTCCTATCCCCACGCCCCCTCTCTTCCCCTCCCTCCCCTTTGTCCTATCTAAAGTTCCTCCATTCCTCTCATGCTCCCCCCCATCACCATTATGATTCAGTATCCTCATATCAAAGAAAACATTCGGCCTTTGGTTTTTTTCACTTAGCATTATATTCTCTAACTCCATCCATTTACCTGCAAATGCCATGATTTTATTCTCTTAATGCTGAGTAATATTCCATTGTGTATATATACCAAAGTTTGCCATCATATAATAAATTAGAATAAATAAATAATTTAAATAAATAAATAAATAAAATCATATGCTAGCTGTTGGACCAAAAAAAAAAGAACAGTAGGCAAAGGCTAAATAGACAATTCTGCAAAGAAGACATACAAATGGCCTACAAGCATATGAGAGGTTCGATATCACTAATCACTAGAGAAGGGAATCTGGGTTGGTTCCACAATTTAGCCATTTTGAATTGTGTTGCTATAAACATTGATGTGGCTGTGTCCCTGTAGCATGCTGTTTTTAAGTCCCTTGGGTATAAACTGAGGATAGCTAGGTCAAACGGTGGTTCCATTCCAAGTTTTCCAAGGATTCTCTGTACTGCTTTCCAGATTGGCTGCACCAATTTGCAGTCCCACCAGCAATGTATGAGTGTGCCTTTTCCCTCACATCCTTGCCAACACTTACTGTTGTTTGTATTCTTGATAGTTACCATTCTGACTAGAGTAAGATGAAAGTTTTGGTTTTCATTTCTCTAATTGCTAGAGATGTTGAACATTTTTTCATATATTTGTTGATTGATTGTATGTCCTCTTCTGAGAAGTGTCTGTTCAGTTCCTTGGTCCATTTATTGATTGGGTTATTTGTTTTTCTGGTGTTAAGGTTTTTGAGTGCTTTATATATCCTACAGATTAGTGCTTTATCTGATGTGTTTGTGGTAAAGATTTGCTCCCATTCTGTAGGTTCTCTATTCACCTCACTGGTTGTTTCTTTTGCTGAGACGAAGCTTTTTTGTTTGAATCCATCCCATTTATTGACTCTTGGTTTTAATTCTTATGCATTAGGAGTCTTATTAAGGAAGCTGGGGCCTAATCTGACATGATTGAGATTTAGGTCTACCTGTTCTTCTATTTGGTGCAAGGTCTCTGGTTTAATTCTTAGGTCCTTAATCCACTTTGAGTTGAGTTTTGTGCATGGTGAGAGATAGAGGTTTAATTTCATTTTGTTACATGTGGATTTCCAGTTTTCTCAGCACCATTTGTCGAAGAGGCTATCTTTTCTCCAATAAATGTTTTTGGCGCCTTTGTCTAATGTGAGATAACTGTAATTATGTAGGTTTGTCTTTGTGTCCTCTATTCTGTTCCATTGGTCTACAGGTCTGTTTTGGTGCCAATACCATGCTGTTTTTGTTACTATTCCTCTGTAGTATAGTTTAAGGTCTAGAATAGTAATGCCACCAGCTTTATTCTTCTTGCTAAGAATTGCTTTGGCTATTCTGGGTCTCTTATTTTTCCCAGATGAATTTCATAATTGCTTTTTCTATTTTCATTGGGATTTTGATTGGGATTGCATTGAATCTGTATAGTGCTTTTGGTAGTATGGTCATTTTGGCAATATTAATTCTGCCTATCCAAGGACAAGATAGATCTTTCCATCTTCTAAAGTCTTCTTTAATTTCTTTCTTTAGCATTCTGTAGTTTTCATTGTAGAGGTATTTCACCTCTTTCGTTGATTTGCAAGTATTTCTTTTTTTCCTTTTTGAAGCTATTGTAAATGGGGTGGTTTTCCTAGTTTCTCTTTCTGAGGATTTGTCATTTATGTACAGAAATGCTTTTGATTTATGGGTGTTGATTTTATATCCTGCTACTTTGCTGAATTCATTTATTAGTTCTAGAAGATTCCTGGTGGAATATTTTGGGTCTTCTAGGTATAGAATCATCGTTGGCAAATAGAAATAATTTGAGTTCCTCTTTTCCTATCCATATCCTTTTAATTTCTTTCGTCTGTCTAATTGCACTGGCTAGAGTTTCAAGAACTGTGTTAAATAGAAGTGGTGAAAGAGGGCATCCCTGTCTTGCTCCAGTTTTTAGAGGGAATGCTTTCAATTTTTCTCCATTTAGAATGATGTTGGCCTGGGGCTTTGCATAGATAGCTTTTACAATGTTGTATTCCTGACATCCCTGTTTTTCTAGTGTTTTGAACATGAAGGGGTGCTGTATTTTGTCAAATCCTTTCTCTGCATCTATTGAGATGATCATATGATTTTTATCTTTGAGTCTATTGATGTGATGAATTACATTTATTGATTTCCGTATGTTGAACCAACCTTGCATCCCTTGGATGAACCCTACTTGATCGTGGTGCATTATCTTTTGATATGCTTTTGTTGTTTTCAGTTTGCCAAAATTTTATTGAGAATTTTTGCATCTATCTTCATTAGAGATATTGTTCTGAGTTTTCTTTCTTTGATGTGTCTTTGTCTTTGTCTGATTTTGGAATCAGGTGACATTGGCCTCATGGAATGAGTTTGGAAGTGTTCCCTCTTTTTCTATTTCATGAAATAGTTTGAGGAGTATTGGTGTTAGTTCTTCTTTAAAGGTCTTGTAGACCTCAGCTGTGTATCCATGTAGTCCTGGGCTTTTCTTGGTTGGTGGTGTCCTCTATTTCCTTGCTTGAAATTGTGTATATAATCCTGATTTAGTTTGGGTATATCATATGCCTCTAGAAATTTGTTGATGCCTTTGATATTTTCTGTTTCATTAGAGGACATATTTTCAAAATAATTTCTGTAGTGTCCGTTGAGATATTTCCTTTCTCATCATGGATGTTAGTAATCTGAATTTTCTCTTTCCTTCTCCTCGTTAGCATGGCTAATGGTTTATCATTTTTATTTATTTTTTCAAAGCACTAATTTTTTGTTTTGTCAATATTTTCAATTGTTTCTTTTGTTTCAATTTCATCGATTTCATCTCTAATTTAATTATTTCCTGTCTTCTACTGCTTTTGAAATTGATTTGTTTTTCTTTTTCTAGGGTTTTGAGTTGTAATGTTAGGTCATTTATTTGTTGACATTTTCTTCTTTGAAGGAATGAACTCCGTGAAATGAATTTTCCTCTTAAAACTGTTTTCATACTGTCCCAGAGATTTCGATATGTTGTATCAGTGTCTCATTTACCTCGAAGAATTTTTTAATCTCCTCCTTGATATCTTTTGCAATCCATTGTTCATTCAGTAGCATTTTATTCAGTCTCCAGGTATCAGAGTAGCTTTTATTTTTTTATTTTATCATTGATTTCTAATTTCATTCCATTACGGTCTGGTAGAATGCAGGGTAGTAACTCTACTTTTTTGTATTTACTAAGAGTTGCTTTGTGGCATAATATATGGTCTATTTTAGAGAAGGATCCATGTGCTGCTGAGAAGAAAATATATTTGCTCGTTGATGGATAATATATTCTATTATATGTCAGTTAAGTCTGAGTTATTGATTTATTATTGAGTTCTATAGTTTCTTTGTTTAGCTTTTGTTTGGAAGATCTATCCAGTGGTGAAAAAGGTATGCTAAAGTCACCCAGAATTATTGTGTTGTGGTCTCTTTGACTCTTGAACATAGATAGAGGCTCCATTGAAATGTGGATTAGGTGGATATAGGGCATGTATATTTATAACTGTTATGTCTTGTTGATGTATGGTTCCCTTAAGCAGTATGAAATGTCCATTTTTTTTAAAGGTGGACACAATATCTTTATTTTATTTTTATGTGGTGCTGAGGATCGAACCCAGTGCCAGGCGAGCACACTACCACTTGAGCCACAACCCCAGCTCCTGAAAAGACCATCTTTATCCCTTTTGGTTAACTTGGGCTTGAAGTATACTTTATTTGATATGAGAATGGAAACCCCTGCTTGTTTATGAAGATCATGTGAATGGTATATTTTATCCCAACCTTTCACCTTCAGTCTGTGAACATCTTTTCCTATGAGTTGAGACTATTGAAGGCAGCATATTGGTGGGTCTTTTTCTTAATCCAGTCTAGCAGTATTTTGGTTGGTGAGTTTAGGCCATTAACTTTCAGGTTTATTATTGAGACATGATTTGTATTTCCAGTCATTTTTGTTTATTTTTGCATTTAACTTGACTTGGTTTCTCCTTTGATTGGCTTTTCCTTTATTATAGTTCTTCCCTCTGCAAATTTTCATTGTTGTTTTTCATTTCCTCCTTGTGGAATATTTTGCCAAGAATGTTCTGTAGTGCAGGCTTTCTTGCTGTAAATTCTTTGCTAAGTTGCTGAGGCTGGCTTTGAACTTGCAATCCTCCTGCCTCAGCCTCCTGAGTTGCTAGGATTTTAGGTTTGTGCCACCACACCCTGCTCCTAACACACATCTTCACCCTAACCTGTTCAATATCAAACTGTTGATTTTTCCACCTCAAAATCTTATTTCTCCTGTAGTCTTCCCATCAAAGTAAATGGCAACTCTCAGCTTTCATCTTCCCAGGCCAAAAACCATGGAATCATCTTTGACTTCTTTCTCCAACATCCTATATCCACCTAATCCACATTTCTAAAACAAAAGCAAAATCCACCTTTCACCCCCTTGATCATTTCTACCTGGTCCAACTTGCTTTCATTTTTTTGCCTTGCCTTTGCAGTAACCTGTCTCCACCTTTGCCTTTTTTTTTTTTTTTTTTAATGTGGTCTTGCTGTGTTGCCTAAGTTGGCTTTGAATTCCTGAGTTCAAGTGATCCTTCTACCTCCTTAATAAGTGGGACTATAGGCATGTGCCATCATGCCTGGTTCATCAACCTCGTCTTCTTTAATCTACACAATAGGCAAGTGGTCTTTTTTAAAATATAAGGCAAATATGAAAAATAAATAAATAAAATATAAGGCAAATAAATCCTCTGCTCAGAACCCTCCAGTTTCCTATGTGATTTAAAATAAAATATAATCTAGACCATTTTCTACAAGATCCTACATATTATGTTCTCTGTTATCTGTCCAACATTATCTCTTCCCACTTTCCCCCTTGATCAGTCTCTTTAGCCAGAATGACATGCCTACTATTGTCTGAAAATAACAAGTATTTGGCAATGTATTTCTCTTATCCCTTATGCTAAAAATGTTCTTCCTTCATATATTCCCAACACTTTCTTTAGATCACTACAAAATGTTACTATATTGCAAAAACTAACAGTAAGATTCAAAAGACTGAATATTTGAAAACAAACAGGGTTCTAAGTACAGCAATGGACTACCAGGTCCTGGTAAGCATGTGATTGAAGATTTATTTAAGAGTTGTGCCAGGGCACACTGTGCTAGGCAGTAGGAGGCCCTGACCTTACAGAGATTACAGTTTATTAGAGAAAACAAAAAATAAAAAAGTAAATAAAAAAATAGAAATACAAGGAAATAAAAGGTAGATGATAGAATAATTGGTGGGGAAGGTTGGGGGAAAACCGAACTGAGGGGCTGGAGTGGTCAGAAAAGGTCTAAGCAGATGAACCTGTGCTGAGATCCAAAGGATGAAAATGAGATGATTAGGGAAAAGAGTTGTCAGGGCAGAGGGATGATCAAATGCAAAGACCACGAGGCAGGAAAGAGCTTGGCAGATTCAAGGAAATGAAAGTAATATTTAAAAGTCATTATGAGGGCTAGGGCTATAGCTCAGTGGCAGAGTGCTTGCCTAGCACATTGAAGCACTGGGTTTGATCCTCAGCACCACATAAAAATAAACAAATAAAATAAAGGCATTCTGTCCATCTATAACTACAAAAAATAATAATAAAAAAAAGATAATTATGAAACCTGGGATCATCTAAGCAACTTAGTGAGACCCTGTCTCAAAATAAAATAAAAAGTTCTAGGGATGGGGCTCAGTATTAAGTGCCCTTGGGTTCAATCCCTGGAAACAACAACAACAAAAATGTATGTTAGGCATCCAAATGGAAAAATCGAGTAGACAGTTTGGATATATGAGTCTACAGTTCATGATTTAAATGTGGGAGTCTCAAGAAATAAAATAGTATTTAAAGCTATGGGATCAACTCAGGTCACCAAGGAAGGAAGAGACTTATTTTGGAGGAAGGGGGTGTTTGGTGTTTTTTTGTTTGTTTGGTACCAGGGCTTGAACGCAGGGGTGATTTACTACTAAACTACATCCCTGGCCCTTTTTTATTTTTAAATTTTGAGATAGGGTCTCACTAAGTTGCTGAGGCCCTCACTAAGTTGCTGAGGCTAACCTTGAACTTGTGATCCTTTGCCTCAGCCTCCTGAATTGCTGGGATTATGGGCATGTGCCACCATGCCTAGCAAAGAGACTATTGATAGAGAAAAGGACCAGGAATGAGTTGTAGGACCTTCCATCATTTAGGCAAGAGGAAGAGATTAAGCAGAGAAAACTTAAAGGAATAGTCACTGAGTTAGGTGAAGAACCAAGAGTGATTTGTGTCCTAAAGGCCAAGGGTATAATTTGTAACAACTGTGTTAAATGTTGCCAGAAGGATGAATAAATGAAGACTAAGATTAATGTTTTTATGAAGCAGTTCATTGTCTTTTCAAAAAATATATAAAATGGAAATTTTAGAGCTGGGGATGTGGCTCAGTGGTAGAGCGCTTGCCTAGCATGTACAAGGCCCTGGGTTCAATCTTTAATCCCCAGCATCACAAAAGAAAAAAAAAAGAAACTTTATATGTTCTTACATAAATGGAAGATTTATGGGGCTGGAGTTATAGTTCAGTGGTGGAGCACTTGCCTAGCATGCAGTGAAGCCCCGAGTTCAGTACCCAGCACTATACACACACACACACGCACGCACAAAACAAAACTTGCTGGAAATAGCAGATAATTGTGGCCAGGGGTATAGCTCAGTGATAGAGCACTTGCTTAGCATGGGTGGGGCCCTGGGTTTACTCCCCAACACCAAAAAAGAAAAAAAAAATCAATCCCACAAATATGATTGTTAAAATAAACGACATTCTCACCGTTGTCTTTTAAAGTCTCTGAGGCCAAGGAGCAAGAACTTCTGGACATTAGCATTTCTAGGGAGATCCTAAAGAAAGGGAAATAACTTTCTCATAATGTTATACAATAGCTTGGCAATATAACTCCTTATATATTAGGCCTGTGTTTTACATAGTACTACACTAAACTGTTGGGTTTTTCATTTAAGATTTTTGTTTTGTTTTTTTAAATAATCCTTTGCTAATTCTTTGACCCAAAATGAAAGCTGAGATTTAATAGTGCTTTTTCCCTCTTTAGGAAGTGTTTTAGACCACAGTTTGGAAAGCCTTATCCACCGCCTTCGTGGTTTATGTGACAACATGGAACCTGAAACTTTCCTTGACCATGAGATGGTATTCCTCCTGAAGGGCCAGCAAGCCAGCCCATTTGTCCTGAGGGCCCGGCGCTCTATGGATAGAGCAGGGGCACCCTGGCATCTGCGTTACCTGGGACAGCCAGAAATGGGAGACAAGAACCGATACGCTTTGGTGCGAAACTGTGTGGACATTGCCACATCTGAAAACCTCACAGATTTCTTGATGGAAATGGGCTTCCGCATGGACCATGAGTTTGTTGCCAAGGGACACTTGTTTCGTAAGGGCATTATGAAGATTATGGTATACAAGATTTTCCGCATCCTGGTGCCAGGGAACACAGACAGCACTGAAGCCTTGTCGCTCTCCTATCTTGTGGAATTAAGTGTTGTTGCACCAGCCGGGCAGGACGTGGTCTCTGATGACATGAGGAACTTTGCTGAGCAGCTGAAACCTCTGGTTCACCTGGAGAAAATAGACCCCAAAAGGCTCATGTGACTAAGACAGTCTGTCCTCATATGTTAGAAAAAAGATGTTATAAATGCCCCAGTTTACCACTGCCAGCCAGGTGTTGCTCAGGAAGGACAGTGAGAATTTACTTGGTTCTTTGCAGTGTATTCCTCGTGAGGTTTCACATTCATGGCAGCCTTTTTATTTAAAAAAAATTTTTTTTATTTTTTGGTACTTGGAACTGAACCTAGGGACGCTTAACCACTGAGCCATATTCTCAGCCCTTTTTTGTATTTTATTTAGAAACAGGGTCTTGCTGAGTTGCGTAGGGTCTCCCTAAGGTTGCTGAGGCTGGCTTTGAACTTGGTATCTTCCTGCCTCAGCCTCCCAAACCGCTGGGATTACACGTGTGTGTCACCACACCCAACCATGGCAGCTTTTTTAAATTAAAGGCTCAGGATAACACAGAATATGTCTAATCCCTCTGCATAAAGAAGGGAAACTGGGACAAATTAGCTTTGGAAAGAAAAGTCTCTTAATTATTATGTGTAAGGTTTGTAACAGAACCTGTGAGCTTGTGTTGAATAGTAATAAAAGCTGTTTAAAAATGTCTATAATTCTGCTTCTTTGGTCTCTTATTTTATACCCTCAGGGGAGATTCATTAGAAGTTGAAGCAACAATAAGGGTAATTCTTAGTTTTAATTTTTTGTTTGTTTGTGGTGCTCAAAATCAAACCCTGGGCCTCAAGCATGTTTGGCAGGTACTTTATCACTGAGCTATACCTCTAGTCCCTCAGTTTTAATTTTATGAAAATGGTAGTTCTCACTTATCATAAAGTGGCACATTTGTTGATGAGACATTTTAAAGTACAAAATAGTAAAAATAATATCTAAGGAAATACACTATTTTGGTATATAGCTTTCTAGTCTTTAGTTTTTATAAATTTATGTACATACATATATATACACATATATGTTTGTTTTGGTTTTGGGGGGGTACTGGGGATTTAACCCACTAAGCCACATCCCCAGTCCTATTTTGTATTTTATTTAGAGACAGGGTCTCACTGAGTTGCTTAGTGCCTGTTTGCTGAAGCTGGCTTTGAACTCAAGATTCTCCTGCCTCAGCCTCCCAGCTGCTGGGATTACAGGTATGCACCACTGTGCCCAGCTATATATTTGTTTTTATAAAAACATTTCATACATATTAGGTTTCTGTTTATTTCCCAGGATATTAATCTGTAGTGTTCTTTTGTAAATGTAAAAAAAAAAAAAAAAAAAACATTTATTGGGTTCTAATCATGTTACAGTGCTGTCCTAAATTCTTTATTTTTTTGTTCTTTTTGCGCATAACAGTAGAATGTATTTTACCTGCATACGTGGGGTATAACTTCCCATTTTTGTGATTGTATATGATGTGGAGTTACCCTGGTCATGTATTCATATATGAACATAAGAAAGTTATGTTTGATTCATTCTATCTTTGCTAGTCACATCCTCCCTCTGTTCCCTTCATTCTCTTTTAGACAAAGGAGAATGAACTTCACAAAATCCAGTGAACTTCCATTCAGCCTTTGGTTTTTGGGATTGGCTTATTTCACTTATCATGATAGTCTCCAGTTTACAAATGCCATAATTTCATTCTTCTTTATGGGTGAGTAATATTCTATTGTGTGTATGTACCACATTTTCTTTATTCACATTCATCTGTTGACGGGCACCCAGGTTGGTTCCATAGCTTAACCCAAGTTCTTTATTTATGTTAAACCAGACCCTTCGGGGCCAGTGGCAGAGCACTTGTCTTAGAGTGCCTGAGACCTTGGTACCTAGCACCATTACTAAATAAATAAATAAATAAATAAATAAATAAAAAGACCCATTTTGTAAACAGGTACAGAGTAATTATCTTTTTCTAGGTTATACAGCTTTGATTAGCAGAGCTAGTATTTAAATATTGGCAGTTATAATTACTCTTTGTATTTTTATCATTTAAATTTGCAATAAATTGATTCCTCTACTTTTAGATTTTTAATTTTATTCCAATGTTTTGCTTTTATGCACAATGCTATAATGCTGGTGCTTTTGATTAAGTCTTTGTTGATAGCTATGATTATTCAGGATAAATTTAGGGAACTGCTGAGTCAAAAGGTATGTACTATTTTTTGTGGGGAACACAAGGGATTGACTCTGGGGTGCTTAACCTCTGAGGCACATCTCTAGCCCTTTTCATTTTTTGAGACAGGTCTCACTAAGTTGTTTAGGTTCTCGCTAAATTGCTGAGGCTGGCTTTGAACTTGCAATTTTCCTGCCTCAGCCTCCTGTGCTGGAATTATAGGTTTGTGCCACAGAACCTGGCTGGGTATGTACTATTCTAAGACTTCTGCCATGTATCACCAGTGTCTTCCAGAAATGTCCCAGTTTTCATTCCTACCAGCAGTAAATGAAGTTTCCAACACTAGGTTACCTGAAAATTCATTTTTCTCATTTGAAGATTAATAGTAATAAGTTTTAATTTTTAAAAAAATATTCCTTGGGGCTGAGGTTGTGGCTCAGTGGTAGCGCACATGGCTAGCATGCGTGAGGTACTGGGTTCGTACCACATACATGCGTACCACATACAAATAAATAAAGATCCATCAAGAACTAAAAAATATTTTTAAAAATTCCATGCTCAGGTTTACATTTTGTAAATATTTATTGTACACACATGTGAATATTTTTTCCTTATTAATTGTTCATCTTTTCCTTATTAATTAGTAAAGATCTCATATAATTTTTCCTGTTTATCATTTGACTTATAACTTAATGGGGTTTTTTTAGTAAAATAAATATGGATTATTTTAATGTTTGTAGTAGAGTTTCTAATATTCTAGAGAGATTTCAGTTTACCAAAACTTAAAGGCCAGCCAGGCCTGGTGGCATGTGCCTGTAATCATAGCAACTTGGGAGGCTAAGGCAGGAGGATTATGAGTTTGAACTCAGCCTCAGCAATTTATCGAGTCCCTAAGCAACACAGCAAGATTCTGTCTCTAAATAAAATATATTTAAAAAGGCTGGGAATGTGGCTCTGTGGTTAAGTACCCCTGGATTCAATCCCTGGTACCAAAAAAAAAAAAGATATAGGTCATTAAAAATTTTCGGGCTGGGTTTGTGGCTCAGTAGTAGAGTGCTTGCCTGGCATGTGTGTGAGGCGCTGGGTTCGATTCTCAGAATTACTGCATATAAATAAGTAAAATAAAGGTTCATCAACAATTTCAAAAATTTTTTTCATTTTCCGTTTTATTCTGTAACTTCCACTTAGTTATTTCATTTGAACTATATTGGACAATTCACAATTCACTTTGGATCACAATTTTTTACTCAAAAGATAATAGAGCTGGGGGGTTTAGTTCAGTTGTAGGATGCTTGCCTAACATGTGAGACCCTGGGTTCAATCCCCAACACCACAAAAAGATGCAAGCAAAATGTTCAGCCAGGTGCTGTGGTTCTAGCTACACCAGAGGCTAAGGTAGAAAGATCACTTGAGCCCAGGAATTGGAGATCAGCTAGCATAATGTAGCAAGATCTGTCTCAAAAACAAACAAATGAAACAAACAAAAAAATGAATGTGTGTGGTGCTGAACAATGAGTGCTGAACACTCATTGACTTGGGTGGCTGAGGCAGGAGGATCACAAGGTCAAGGCCAGTCTGGAAAACTTAACAAGACTGTCTCAAAACCAGTCAAAAGGATTGGACATGTGGTTGAGTATCCCTAAATTAATCTCCAGGACTGCAAACACACACACACACACATACACACACACCAAAAAAAAATAGGATGCTTTGTGCTACAAGTAACAGAAAACCCTCTTCAAAACTGCCTTAAACAGGTTTGAGGAAGGTGTTATCTTTACTAGAATGGTGTCCTGGGTTCCATCCCCAGCACTGATGATAAGTTCCAAAATGGGATGGCTTCCCAGTTTGCTAGCCAATTGTTTCATCTGGGATTATTTTCTTGGGCTTCCCCAGCATATTTGCAAAGTAGTTTCCCCCACTCTCTGTTATGACATATTGCAGTTAATAGCATATTAGCATAATGATTCAGGTAAGACCCTTTCTTTTGTAGCCTCCACCTTTATTCCCCCCCATTTTTTTTCATTTTTCATTTTTTTTTTATACCAAGGATTGAACCCAGGGGCACTTAACCACTGAGCCATATCCCCAGCCCATTTTTTTATATATATATATTTTTAATGTTTATTTTTTAGTTTTCGGCGGACACAACATCTTTGTTTGTATGTGGTGCTGAGGATCCAACCCGGCTGCACGCATGCCAGGCGAGCGCGCTACCGCTTGAGCCACATCCCCAGCCCCCGCAGCCCATTTTTTTTTAATATTTATTTTTTAGTTTTTTGGCAGACACAACATCTTTATTTTATTTTTATGTGGTGCTGAGGATCGAACCCAGCGCCCCGCGCGCCCGAGCATGCAAGGCAAGCGCGTTACAGCTTAAGCCACATCCCCAGCCCTCCCCAGCCCATTTTTACTTTTAATTTTGAGACAGGGTTTCACTAAATTGCTGAGACTGGCTTTGAACTCGCAATCCTCCTGCCTCAGCCTCCTAAACCACTGGGATTACAGGTGTGTATCACAGACCCCACCACCCCCCACATTCTTTTTTTTTATTATTTTTTTTAGTTGTCTTTATTTTATTTATATATGGTGTTGAGAATCGAACTCAGTGCCTTACACATGCTAGGCAAGCGCTTTACCACTGAGCCACAACTCCAGCTCAACCACTCCCATTCTAACCTCTACTCTTACTCCCTCTAACCTCTAGGCACCCACTCAGATAGATATCTTTGATATGTTTGTGATGCCTGTCTGATTTCCTTCTACTTTCCACTATCATAAGTAGATAAGTGGGTGTGTAAAATTCACATAAATGATACTGCGCCATCATTTATGTTCCTATTATTTATTTTTGCACACTGCTGGCAGGCAAACCCAGTGTCTCACAGCTTGTAATCACTCTGCCTCTGAGCCACATCCCCAGTCTATTTTTTTTTTTTTTTGCTTTTAAAAATTAATGTTTTTCCTGCCTGCACAGCAAATGATGCAATGTTTGTAAAACTGCTTTGACAGGCTAAGCAACTCAGTGAGACCCTGTCCCTAAATAAAATACAAAATAGGGTTGGGGATGTGGCTCAGTGGTTGAGTGCCCCTGAGTTCAATCTCCGGTACCCCCCCCACCCCTCAAAAAACAACATTGTGGGCTGGGGTTGTGGCTCAGTGGTAGAGCTCTTGCTGAGCAAGTGTGAGGCACTGGGTTCCATTCTGACACCACATAAAAATAAACAAAATAAAGGTATTGTGTCCAATCTACAACTAAAAACTTTATTTTAAAAATATTAACATTGTTCTGGCATCGTGGTACATACCTTTAAGACCAGGTTCTTAGGAGGCCAAGGCAGGAGAATCACAATTTCAAGACCAGCCTAGGCAACTTCGTAAGCCCCTGTCTCAAATCAAAATGAAAAAGAAGGGCTGGGTCTGGGCATGGTGGCACATGCCTGTAATCCCAGTGGCTCTGGAGGCTGAGGCAGGAGGATTACCAGTTCAAAACCAGCCTCAGCA